ATATTCCAAATTGTGATAATAAGAGATCTGACATTTTTGTCTAAGTAAATTGTTTTCTCTTTTAATTTGAGTACCATTTTTAAAATCAAAATTGTGGTCAAGTCACTGAGCAACAAATGCATTTAATATGTTGTTTCATAAATGATAGCTTTTGTGTTCCTTATAATTGTTTATTCAAATTCTTTGAGGTTTCTCCAATGTATTCCTTTTGGCAATTATTACAGTTGATAGATTAAATTCCACCTACAAGCTTTAACTTATTATTTTTGTTTTGTCTTAAATCTTTTATTGTTTTAGACATAGTTGTGACAAATTTTATGCTTAGTTTACATAAATTCTTTTCAGTTATAGTCATGATAGAGTTAATGGATAGAACAATATATTTTGATTTATTGGGTTTGTCAGGGAAGACCACTTTTCTATTTTGAAATATTTTATGAAGCTTTTGTTTCATTATGCAATGTGAATCAAAAGGCTCGTTAAATATTTAAAAGTAGAAAAGTGGTCCTCTGAAAGCACCCCCCCCCCAATGTTTTATAATATTTGCCGAAAATCCAGGAATTATCCAATTCAAACAAAATTTTCAGGACTTATTAATGATTGAATATTTTACTGAATAGGCTGTTATTAAACAACCCTGGTAAATTTGGCATCATTTCAAAGAGAAATCAATTTACTTTTATAAAATCAACTTATAATACTTGAATTTCAATAGTTTTTGAGAGATATAGCAATTTAATTGAACTAACCTTATGTATTCAAATTTTTCAACAATTCAGTCAATACTCCAGGGATTGTGCAACAGAAATCTCTTTAAGGGTTGATAGAGTTAATGTAAACTTTGAATATCAAGTTCACCTCTGTTAAAATGATAAATATGTAAGTATCTCCACATATTCACTAAAAAAATGAGCATACATGATGAAAAACGGCCTCAAATTTAATAAAAATGAAGTTTTATTGTCAAAATCTTTGTTATTACTAAGAGAAAAAAAAAAGGATTTTTTGATTATTAAATTGTATTTTTATGCTTTTCAGAATGTTTGAAATTTTGGTTAAAAAAATGTTTGTCTTGAACAAATACGAATTTATAGTATAGGAAATTTTAGCGTCTTTTCTGGGGTGAAAAATGCATTGATTTGAAAAAATCAAATAATTGTCAGATTTTAATGAAACTTTCATAACTTATTCACAAATTAATTAAATTATTTTAGAAATGTTTTCTTGGTTAAAAATAAAAAATTTTAAATATTCATCACTCTCACACACACATTTAATTTTTTTGAAATTTCAAGAAATTAATTTTTATACAGCTTAAATGTTTTTTGGGTTTTTTTTTTTGTGTGTGTCAAACAGGACCTCCAGTTACTGAAAATCTGCTCTGAATCATAAAATAATGCAAAAAAAAACTAAGACATTATTTAATTAGAAAATCTAATTGCTTTTATGAATAAGATATATTATGAACACTTGTCTTAAGAAAAAAATTTATAGAATTGTTTTCACTTTTTTAAAAATTTTAATTAGAATAATTTAAAAAGTTTTAAAACATTTAAATTTCTGTATTAATATGTATGGGGTAGGTGATTTTGTTATTATGTAAAAACTATATTTAGTAATCATAAATGAAAAAGCTTATTACAGTTTGGAGACCCCCAGTATTTTAAAAAGAATTTAAGATTTGTGTGTGTGCATGTGTGTAAACATGCCAATTTTTGTAAATATGGACATCCATACATGACATCATTAAAAAATAAGAGCAGTAACTATAGTAAATTTTAAAACCAAGTTACCTAAAATTTAATAAAACATTAAATTACAGAAAATATTTTTCTAATTTTTAAAAATTTCTGGCTAGTTAAATATTATATAAAAAAAGATGCTCATATTATATTTCTCAAGTAATTTTCGCAGAATATATCCCCCATAGAAACAAAATTAGTTAAATTTCCGGTTGTCAATCAAGCTGTCAACACCTTAAATGAACATCTATCTCCATGTTAAAAATGCTTTTCCTGCAATATTTTAAACTAAAAGTAATATTTGTTTCAAATCAGATTAATTAAATTTTAAATTAGTTGATATTCCTCAAATATAATTTCAAAAATGTATATTTTATTTTTGAAAGATTTTTTTTAAAATAAAAATCAATGAAAAAAAAAACTTATTCCAGTCAATTTAAATTAGTTTTGAAATACAGCAAAGTATTTTGCTTACTGAAATATTAAATTTAATCTATTTGCTTGAAATTAAAACTAAAATAAGCTTTAAAAAAAGATGATACACGCTTGGGCAATCATGTCTTTCTATTCATGGCTATTTTAAATATGTAAACAAGCAAATGGTTTATTTAAATTTTAAGTACAACTGAGAAGTTTACTATCCAACCTCCTGTAAATTCATTCATTTTTTTTTTTTTTATCCTCACCATATTGTTTCTTGATCTAATATTATTTTTGCGAAAATGAATTTTTATATTTATTTACATTTATCTTTTTAGGACAAACGTCATCAGTCGGATGCAGTGGACCGTAGCCAGCTTCAACGATGGCTGGATACCTTACAAAAGGCCATGAAAGGTAACCAATTGTGCCGTAATATGGTTGCTTATTTTATTATGTATATATTTTGTGAGTTTTCACACCATTTAATATCTCTTCATTGTAAATCAAATGACAGTAAGTCTCCACAATATTCCAGCACCATTCTCAATATTCTTGTAGATTTTAGCAATGTTGTCATCTTGTTGATTTCAATTCTTTTTCAGATTTCCTATCCTAATTATTTTGCAAAACATTTTGGGACACTTTCAAGCACTCTAATAATGATGGATACAATTTTTTTCCTCCTTTTCCCACAATTCCTTTCATTTCTAATGTAATTGCAACACTTTTTACTTAAATTTTGTGCAAGAAAGTCATACCTCAAGATAAACTGAAAGATTTTGTGAATTGGAAGGACAGTCCTTAAGTCCTTGATTCATTAATCCTATGATTTATTGAAATTGGATAAATTAGCTGTGGTTTCATTGTTTAAAATATGATAGCACATTCTGTATTGATACAAAAATCAATCTACATGGTTTAATCATTGAAACTAAATTCAATGGTAGAATTAATAATTTTTTTTTATTTAAATGATTATAGAATCTGTTTCCTGGTTATGACAATAAAGTACATCTGGCAGCAAGGCCTCTTATCAGGAGGTTTTGAAGAGTGTGGAAACATCTTTTAATTGCTGTTGTTCCCAGTAGCACCTGTGAGGGTCTCAACTATAGGCAAATAGTTAACCCCAAACTGGGGTCAAAACACTGTGAAAGTATAAAAATAGATTTTATAGTAAAAATACCAGCAATACATTTTTGCAAAAGAAATTATTAATGCTTCCAAGAAAATTAAATTTTGGCATTAAATGACCCATAAGGAGTTGATATACCGCTAAACAAACAAACCAACTGATGTAATGGACTAACCTGTCACCCTCATGAGTGACTACACTATAGGTAGTAACCACCTATAAGTATCTGTAAGTCAACAACCTACAGAGACTAGCTGGGATCTGTTGAATACAACTCAGACTTATGCAAGAAATACTGACCTTCTAATAGTAGAACTCACTACTGGATTGACTTTGTGCATAACTGTTACCTTTATTCTTATTGTATTGGTTTTTACAATAAACCTTTACTTATTTTATCCTCCATGTTTTTCAAGTATATATTCCTATTAGCACGGAATATAACACTAACCAACCATAAAATCTCTACTGAATCTATCACTAATCAGTGCTGTTATTAATTTTGTAACTTGTTTTCAGATGCCATTTTGCAATTGACTGAAATAAATTGAATTGTTTTGATCTCGGAGCAGAATTTGCATGGCATCATTAAGATACTTATTGCAAAACTAAGTTTTCCTTCTCTTCTGTTCAGCTGCCAACTACTTTATTTTTTATAATCATTCACATGAGTTAGGTATTGGATTTCATTTGTATTGTAATAATACTTGTATTTTCTAACCTTATCTATTCTATGCTGTACAAGATATTTCTATAGCATACTTAAACACATACTGTGTCATGTAGATTCCTCTATGGAGTACAGGACTACAGACCTCACTACATTAGGTGGTGATGCTGTAGTTTCTGTAGCAAGTAGGTTTTTACAGGTTGAAGTTGCTATCCCCCATACCCAACCAGTTTTGAATTCAAAGTTGTTCTTGTCCTAGACTGGTTGCCATCTTAGGCTAGAGAGCCCAGTCTTTCTTGCTGTTTAATCCATAACTGGGAGAAGAGATTAATTCATACCTTTTTCAAATGTGTTTGTGCAAAAGTAGCTTTGGTTGGGATTTGAACTCTGCATGTTTGCCAATCCCACTTTCTGTGTGAATAACCACTATGCTATACATATGCACACATCTTTGGAAGATCTACTAACAGACTTTTCCTCCTGCTGCTGTTATTGCCAAGTATTTTTTTAAATATATTCCAAGTTCATTATGCATGAAGCCATTGTAAAAACACAAGCATTGTCATTTGATTTCAGCCAACAGAGAATGTATACATAAGCAAAGGTTAATTTGGTGTGATATAGTCATAAAAGCCATTTTATCCTGGGCAATGCAAGGTTGTCATGCTAGTAATGAATAATGCAGTTTGTCAGGTTTCTTCATGCAATCTACTGTAAAGATAATTATTTAGTCTGTGAGTCATAGACATTAGGACATTGGTCAAGTGATCTGGGCCATTTGATGATTATTTGCTCATTAGTCTGGTTCAAATGCAGAGTCCAAGATAATGCTTGACCAGTCAGAATTAAATATTGGTCAAGTGGAAACCTCTTTTCTTGGTTGGCCATATTTCACCTATCAACATCTGGATTTGAAATTAAAAGTTTACTAAAATGTCTTCTCTTTAATAATAGTCATTTCTGATTTTGAAAAGACTATCAGGAAAATTAGTTGATAAAATTTTAGTAGATGCAATAAACAACTTTAACAAATCCCCTAGGATTATGTGAAAACCAGCTTCTCATAAAACTTATTAATGATAAAAAATATTTCTATTTTGCTGTTAAAAGAAGAATTATTGCAAAATGTACAATTCATTTCTAATGAAACTAGGTCAGGTTATGGTTTAAAAATATGAGACTCTGTTATTAACTTATTATATAAAGAATAGGTATGTGTAAATAAGAGGATAGACTGGGTCCTATAGCCTTGGGTGGCAACCAGTCGAGGAAAAGGACAACTCTGAATTCAAAACCTTCAACTTTGGGTTAAATAGCCTCACCATTCCACAATTTGCCAAGCATAGCGAGTATGACTACACCTCTAAAGACATGGTCAATTGGGGAGGGGTTCTTCCTGTATTTGGATAAAGAAAAATACTTTCCATTTGATTACCTTTTCAATATACCAGATCTCATATAAATTTTATTTTAAGTTATTAAATCCAAATCACATACAAATCTACTTTGGAGGATTTCTTCCATTAAAAAATAATATACATGGTACCATCATCATCATGAGAAATAGTCTGTTTATATATTAATATGTGAATTAACCCTTTACTTAATATAAACTCTAAAATAACTAAAAAAAAAAAAATAGGAAAGCTAAATTCTCATACAAGAAAAAGCCAAAAGATTCTCCTTTGAATATGAAATTTATCAAAGAATGTGGATTTTAAAGAAGAAAAATAAACAACAAAGTATTTATGATATTAACTTCAAATTTAAAGTGCAAATGGTGTGAATTCCTATCAAAACAAATTGGTAATTTTTATTTTTAATGAAAATTGAAAATTATTAGACAATTTGACTGATTTCTTCAAATAGCAGTCATCATTTTAATTGATTACTTGAAATTTCAGAGTTGAGTGAAGACGCAACTGAAAATTATCTTTGCCCTTTTCATATTTTCAATTTCCGCAGTTTAAAGTCCCCTTTATTTTTAAACTTCTTTTACTATTACAGCTGTTAATATATTATGTATAAGAAAAATGATTTAAAAATTGTGCAATGCACAACATATTTCACCATTCAAAACTGATTATAAAATTAAATTTATTTCCAAATTCCATCATTTAAAATTAAAATATATCTCATAAATATGTTGAAACTGTATTTACTGAAAGAATAAAATTACACTTCATCTGCAACAAATGTTTATTTCCCTCTTTTTTTTAATGATGTGAAAGTTTACAGAAAATATAATTAGATTTGATTTTTATTAATTATTCCATAGAGGAATTACTAATATTTTATTAAAAAAAAGAAAACCAAAAAAATTGTAATTAAATCTTAATTTGAAGCCACAGGAAAAATATTATCTTTTGTCACTCACAAGTTAGGGAAAAGGTTTTTATTCATTTTAAGAGTTAGGGGTTGCCATCTTTTGCTCATACTTTACCTAATTTTTGTTAAATATCTCTTTGACCTTTCACTTTTCTTTTATTTTGAAGCTGATTGTAGAAATATCATTAAAAGGCAAACAAAGTACTCCATACTTTAGTATGTGTTATCTTCCTAGTTTGATAATATGATTACTATATATTAAATATAAGAATCTAAAGAATGCCACATTTACTAAAAGAGAAGTAACTTACTTATACAAAAAATGTTTGATATGGCTACTATCAAATCTTACCAATCTGCAGCCTGGATTTTTTTCAAATATCTCATTTCCTAAAAGAAATGTATGTTTGCTTCTACCAAGCAAACATACACGACTATAAAAATGTTTAAAAATTAAGAGATAACAGTTAAATTCAAAACCGCCTATTATTTAAAATATATAATACATAAATTAATCTCAAACTAAAATAATATAAATTACATTATAGAGAAAAAAAAATTCAACAACAACATGTACTCGCATATGTTTATTAGACATCAAATTATATCACTTAGCATCCTCCATAATTTACCTTGACTTTCAGTTAGCCTGATATATATTTGTGAGTGTTAAAAATTCTGAAAAACTAACATTTTAACTTCTGCTTATAAATACTTGTTGCAAAATTTTAAAAAAAAAAACTTATATTTACCTTGATAAAGTCCATCAGATAACAAAGTATGTCAGCTAAAATAAGTTTTCCTTTTGTCTTTATTCATAAGATTTAATCCATACAAATATTACTGCTATTTATTAGTTATGAGATTTAATCTATATGAATCTCCATGATTATTAACATATTTAGTTAATAGTTAATGAAATTACTTAAAAAGACTTATCTTCAAGGATATACACCACTTGGAAATATAAGATAAATCTATTGAATTAATTAACAAATATTATATTTATATTTAATTTATATATGCTACATTAAAAAAATAGTTAATCATTGACTCCAAACAAATTTACAAATTGTTCTATACTAAAAACATTTTAACATGACATTCTTTAAATGTTATCATCTGACATTTAATCTGAAATTGTTTGATTTTTACATTTTCATATTTTTATAATTTTACCATCATAAAAAGTATTCATATAAAGAAACTTAGAAAAATAAATCTAGCAAACATTACCAACGATCATATAATTTAAAATATTAGACATCTTTAAACTGTCATAAA